GTAGGATTGCCCAACCTTCCTTCTGAGGAGTGGCTGGTGGGTTTGAACCACCAGCCTTCTGGTTAGCAGTCAAATGCCTTAGACACTATGCTACCAGAGCTCCTTCCTTACTGTATAACTTTTTTAAAAAAATCATTTCTACATCCTTGTTACAGCTGAAGATAATAGGCTCACAGAGGTTTTTGTTCATTTCCCCAAATGAAACTCACAGCAAGAGTCAAGGCTGGGATGAGAACTCAGATGTGTTTGATTTCAAAAACAATGTTCTTCTCACTAATCAAAAACGCAAGTACTGCACTAATAGAGAAGTTTCTGGAAACACCATACATAAGACACACAAAATAAAACTCACCTGCAGTGGATATTCTTGCAGGACCACTCACAATTGCACCGATGCTGTTATTGGCAATGCATTGGTAGTAACCCAAAAGGGAGGGGTTAAGAGAAAGAACAGTCAAAGTCCCCTGATGAATCTTAATCTGTTCCATGTTTCCGTCCAGCATTTTTCCATTAAACAACCATGAGATATGAGCAGTCACAGGTTTAGCAGAACAATGTAGTACTACAGGTCCACCAAGTTTCTGGACAGCAGAGAGTGGCTCAGAAATAAAAGAAGGTGCCAAATCTACAAAGGAACATTCCCCATGTATAAGAGATGGGGAGTGGGAGAGAGGGGGAATAAAGAAGAGAGGGAGAAGAGTACATTAAACATATTTCATCTGCAACTAAAGGCAGTTCTTTTATCTATATATATCATGTCCTCAATGCCTGTAAAAGTTTCAGCAACAATTTTATAAGCTATTTTGGAACAGGGGGGAAAAAAAGGTAAAAAAATTAGCCTAGGACTTAACAATGTGTATAGAATACACAAGGTCCATATGATAAAAAGCATATAAAATGCCAATTTTATTAATGGGGAAACAGCAAACCATTACTTTAAAGCAGTGACTTGTAAATAATGGAAGTTTTGAATCTAAAAAGTAAAGATGACTTTCAAAAATAAATAAATAAATTGTAGTGCCTAAGGCATTTGACTGCCAACCAGAAGGCTGGAGGTTCAAACCCACCAGCCACTCCTTCAGAAAGAAGTTAAAATTAATCTATTTCCATAGGAAGGAAATTAATCCATTTCCATAGTGATACCACCTCAGAAACCCAAGGAGGGGTCACTACGAGTCAGGTCCAACTCGACAGCAATGTGTATTTTATCAAGAGGACTTGACTTATAAGAACAAGTTATTCTATAAGCAGAGGCTCACGCACCTCTTTACTACTTCCCTTTAATATAAAATCATGTTCAACTTTTAAGAAAACAGAAAGTCAGGAAGCCACAGGTAAAACACAAAGTCTACCCCTTTTTTAGATACAAGGTTACATAAGGTAACAAGCAATCTGAATACTTTATTTGATGGTTGCAATAGTTTCATAGGTTAGCTCCATCATTCCATGAACTTGGGTTGGGGAAGTTCTTGCAGTAAAGTATCCAAACAGACCCTCCTTGGCAAAAAGGAGGGGAACAGTGAAACTGTTGATTTGGAAGAACAAAGTACTTACAAAAAATCAATAAATATTTTATTTCCTTTTACAGGATATTGAATAAGAAATGAAGATTAAGGGAAGTACCTCTCTTGGTCGAATCTGAGGTTGTTGTTTAGCAAAACAAAAGCATTAATAAAACCACTAAATCATTTTTTCCCTTACCAAATCTAATATAGTTATACAGAATTTTTAACATATATAATAAATATTATATAATAAACACCACTGTATTTGGGTCTACCTTATATATATATATATCTTTATAACCCAAATCCAAAAACCTACTGCCATTGAGTTGATTCCAACCCACAGCGACCCTCACTGGGTTTCTGAGCCTGTAAACCCTTATGGAAGTAGATTGCTTCATCTTCCTCCTGAAGAGCAGCTGATGGGTTTGAACCAAAAACCTTCTGGTTAACAGCCAAATTCCTTACCCATTATGCTACCAGAGTTCCTTATATCTTTATACAAATACAAAATTAAAAGAAATGGATGTATGCTAGATCTTAGACTTGGTGCTAATACATACATTTAACAATGAACACATTTAAGTGTTTAATAATCCAAAGAAGGAGATAACTTAGGCAAGGTAATGGGAACAAGTGGCAGATCTGGGATGTAAACCAAATTCTCTCACCTCAACTTGAGTTGTTGTTGTTGTTGTTGTTGTTGTTAAGTGCCATCGAGTCATTTCCGACTCATAGTGACCCCATGCACAGCAGAACGAAACACTGCCCGATCCCGCACCAGCCCCACAATCCCTGCTATACTTGAGCCC